CGCTCTTATTACTTCACCTGGTATAATTTATCCATGGATGAAAATATTAAAATAAAAGTATTTCTCGTTTCCAAACTGCAAGAAGTCGGTACACCTGTTCCAAGGGACGAAAATAAAGTTTTTTGCTTTTCCGAGGATAGAGTATGTAATAAGGTCTAGTTTTATGACAAATTGCTGACGAAAAATATTTTCAAATCTCTAAACGAGTTACCGTTGTCCGTGAGTGAAGACAGTTGGGTTACGGTTCGGATATTTGTACTATGATTTTGGATTATCATGCCCAAACGCGTTAAAAAAATTTTAACATATGGGAGGTTCCATGGGAAAGCGAACCTCAGTGCAACAATTATTTTCTTTATAAAACTAACAAACGTGTGGATAAGACATTTGTAAAAATCTTGAATCAACTAAAAAATAACATATTAAAGCTTTAAATGCATTTTTATTACCTTTTTTTTACGTTTTGAATTAAAGTTCTAAGTAAATTTTTTGATTGAGTTTAAAGTAGGTTGTTTTGAATGCACTGTCAAATAATTTGCGATTCATAATTCAGGTGTTTGGTAAGAAAAATATATAGTAGAACTCATCTGCTTTTAATAAAATTGGGTTATATATTAAATTGTGTGACTGCTTTATCTATATTATAAGTTATTATTAAGCAGTATTGGTCTTGTCCCACCCGTGACAAAAAATGCTATTTAAAAGTTGTTATATTTAATTACAGAAGTTGAGGTTGTTTTTCGTGTTTGTTACATAATGTTAGAATATAATTGCAAATGATTACATTACCACAATTGCATTGTCGTTTCCACGTAGTTATATAAGAATAATTCAACAGAGAAGCATGTCCCACCCGTGACTGCTATGTGTGGGACAGTTGTCAAAGGTAGGTTTACAGGGCTGATAAGCTTTATTTGTTTGTTGAGGTGGACGCAGGGAAGAAGCGGGGGATGCGCGTACTCGTCCATTATCTATATACCCTTGTGGTAAGCTGATTAAGTTAAGTTACATATTGACCAGTTTTGGTGTTTTATTTTGTTAATCTAATGTTTATAGTTTTTTTTTTTATAAAAGTTTAGCACATTACCTAACCAGAACCACATAAATCTACATTTCAAACTTTTTATACTGAACAATTTTAAACTTCTTATAAAAATTATAAAAATTCAACAAACTTTAACAATTACACCGAATAATTTTAAACTTTTTTGTTCAGAATTTTTAGGTATGCAGTTTTGTAGACCATTAAATTTGAGTGACATATAAAATATAAAAGTGAAAATATCAAGACCCTAGGTAATCGCGTTCATTTTAAATAATTCTTTTGGCTGACGGTGCTAAACATTTTCTGCGATATAAAGGGGACTACCCTAAGATAAAACGCGAGTGAATTGAACCCCTACTTGGCTTCTTATATTTTTTAATAACTAATCTTTATATATGGATCACACTAAAAGCTCCTTTTGATATAAAAATTCGTACGTGTCCTACCCGTGACAAACGTTGTCCCACCTGTGACAGAGGAATTTCGGATTTTTTGTATAATAAAGCCATAATTTTTTTGTAGTTCTTGCTTTGTTTGTGTTCCTGGTTCTTTGTTTTATTATAAGACATCAAGTTCACACAGAAAAGTGAAATAAATTCGCAGTTTCCGTAAAATATATCTGCTCCAAAAACCAGGTTCTTTTTTTTTTGGCCCACCCGTGATAGAAAAAATAAATCAGATTTTTTCCATATAAAAGTAAGGTGGAATTTTTTTCGTATTTTGTAATAACTCATATAATAATCAATAAGGTGTAGCTTTATCAAAATGTAGAATGGTTGAGTACTTTATGCTTAAATTTAAACAAGAAAGAAATTTTTTCTGTACAAATGTCCAATAAACTATGAATTTTTTTGTAAATTTAGAGGTGGATTTTGAGCAAAAATACTGTGGATGGCGTAACCAAATTTAGACTGATGAGGTTATTTTTTCTAGCGCGGCCGAAGGCCACCAACGCGGAAAAGAGTTTTGCGCAAAAATACTGCTAATGGTCTAACACGAGTTTAAAATTTCTTTGTAAAAATGCTAATCCTACCGCATTTTGAAATGGGTCCCCCGAGTGCCTGTAGGAGAGGAGAATGAAACTTTTCTTCAAGTTTATATAGTGCTTTATATAATGAGTGAAGTTTTAGGTGTGGCGCCCTTTTCCCCCTCCGCTCCCCACCAAAAAATCATTGTACAAATAACTGAACATTTCCACGCACAACATTAAATCCCCAGATTATTGTTTGCTTCCTATCAATGTGGCAAGGTAGCTAATAATTTGGTACAATTTATGAAATTTCAGATTTTTTTAAGAGATAGGCCTGACGTGCTTCGATTTTGACTCCTGGTTTTGTATGGAAACGCCTTTATACTCAGTTCTAAACGAAATAATAATAACGCAGAACATTGTTTCCCTTATTTTACTTCCGTTGCTTTGGAAGCACACCTTTTCGTATGCCTTCGAATGGCAGTGCTATTGGAAGATATTTTATTACAGCTTTCAAAGAGCACAGTGTAGACCAAAGAGAAGGTAATTTTGAAAAAGCTCCACCTGAAAGCGGTCATTTAAAAGCGCTTCTCATTTTGAAATAAACTGCAAAATAAAATTTAAAAAATCAACGCCAGTTTTTGTAAATTTCACTTGTATGAAAAAAACCACGAGCAGTCGCAAAAAAAATTCCAAAATCAACGCGATTTTTTAGACTAAAATTGTATGTAATTGTATTGTATTTAATGTTCGGCTCCACCCGAACTTAGACTTTCTTACTTGTTTAGACTAAAATTGTATGTACATATGGCCCAAAACGCGGACTGTTACATTACATTTTGGCTCACACTGATTTTTAAATATCGCTGAAACTCGCGAGAATACAATTTTCGGATAATTTTTCTTTTTGCATCTGAAAGCATAAGTATGTAGCATTATTTAATGCATACAAACATATATTGTAACTCCTGTGGTTTAGGAGTTATGAATGTTTCAACAGTGGACTGTTGCATTACAATTTTTGGAAGTACTTTTTAAAGTTGCTATATATATTATTGAAAAAGTCTGCTCTCCTAATATAATGTTTTCAAAAGTTGGTACACAGTTTCCTAGCTTCAGGATGGAATTGAAGAACTACGTATTAATTGAACAGTTAAAATTAATTTTGAGGTCAATATTTGTAAAAAATAGTCGGACTGGTACGTTACAGAAAAAGACTGTTACGTTACCTGTGCGATATACGTGTAGCGATAGGATTATAATTAGGTATTTAAATCGCTTTTAGTGTGTTTTATGCAATAAGTAGCATGAATTCAGTAGTCTTGCGATGTGACAAGTAATTCAAAGAAATTAAGAACATGATAATTATGAATACAGATTGCAAAGTTTCTGATGCTGTGCAGCCGTAGGTCGTTTCCGAAGTAATTTTCTGCGTAGAACTCGAACTCGATCTTAGAATTGCGCCAAGTTGTTGAGTTTTTCGCGTTTAATTTCACGAAAAACGGCTTTAATGGCTTATTTTGTTTGCTCTATGCTATTTAGTACTATTCTTACCCTTCAAATGTTAGATTCGAGGACTCGGCATTTTGTAGAATAATAGTAGTACTAGAAAAATAGCCGAAAAAATTCCAATAGATTTTTTATTATTTAATCGGCATATCTTCTTCTTTCCGCTTCTTATTTCGCTTCTCTTGACTGCGTTCATTTTTGAAATAATATATTTCTCGCGTTTTTAATTTTTCTACGTAATTCTTATCTTCTCAGTTTATATAAGTTAGAAAAAATAACAGTTTTAACTATGGGACAATAACACGTTGAATAGCTTCCAATGTTGCTTGTAAAATGAGCCCTATCTTTAACTAAATAACAAAAATGTTCTAAAGACGCAGATTAAAAACTTGAACTATTGATGAAAATGTGATTTTGGTTAAATTTTGGAGAGTATTTTTAGAAAAATAACAAAAAAAATTTAGCTCGAAAGGCATTACGAATATTTCGAAAAAAAACAGGGTGACTTGTTTGAGTCACTGTTTCTGTGGCACTTTTATTATGCATATATTGAAAGAGAATCTTATGGCCCTATTATGTATGGCGACTGGTGTCTAGTGGCTGGAATAGTAGCCGTGGCTACTTTGTTTTATGGATAGCGATTAAACTCAGTAAACAGAAAAACGCAAACAAAATCCGAATTTACTTTTTTGACATGCACATTTCGAAGTAATTGGCAACTTTTTTACAATGTTTTTACCAATTTAACAAATAACATTATCGTCATAAACGGGAAAGAGAAAATTGCGCGACAAGACTCAGTAGACAGAAGACAGTGAGTAGCCAATTGCAAAATAGGGCCATTAAACTACACCTATGGCTAGTTAATCGTTCAAACATTGTTTTCAAAAGCCAAGGAAATTTTGTTTTAAAGCGAAAATGGACCAACTCAAGATAAGTTATTTTTTCAAAATAATTTATAATTTTATTCGGCCTTTTGTTTTCAGGTTTTTCATTTATTCCTTATTACAATTCCTATGCCTTTGACTTGATGTTTTATCTTCATCAGCTTATGTATGTTAACAATTCAACCAAATTACCCGCAATTCATTTTAGTTATGAACAGCGAGCGTTAAAAATCGATGCCTCTTACAGGTGCATTGAATACATTTTATTTTCTTCTTACTAAATGTATGCAGGATAAGTATTTATATTTATTACATTATCCTAGATATTTTATAATAAAATTTTAAGTTACAAAAATTTATTTTCATTGTGTTTTCGTTAATTATGTATTAAATAATTTGTTACTAACTGGATTTCTTAATGGTTGATAATTGTCAGCAGTTAATTTGTTGATACACAATAATTCGCTTATCAGATAAGAGCAAGTTGCTTTAATTATATTAAAGTTTGTTAGATTAATAGCCTAGCCGTACGTAAATGATTCTTATTAATCTTATCATAAAATTTATGTATACTATATGTACATGTATAAAAATTGGTATAAAACTTCCAAAGTACATTTTATTGGGGATCAGTGTTCTGTTTTTTTTTTGTTAGCTTTTGGTAAAATTCTCGTTATTCAATCATCTAGGGGTAGCAAAAATTATTTTTCAAGTATTTATATGACATATACATACATAGCCAAGACGAGACTTGCTTTTGATTGGTAGACTTTTGTCCTTACCTAGGGCTCTACAGAGTTTTTACATAATTTTGTTTTAATTTACGTTCATAAATATATGCTGCTATTTTCACACATGCATGTACATACATACATATAAAGCTACATGGTTCTTGACATAAGACATTTATCCGTTGTTAAGCGTAAGCACAACTTTTGGGTTTATCCCTGCATGATTTCTATATTTTTTTATACTTAAGAAGTTAATTGCTTTTGGATAGAAGCGGTCACTAAACGAAGGTTAGACTATATAACAGGAAAAAGTTTGAATTTTTAATTTAAAGTAAGTACATGATGTGCTTAGCAAATGTATGTTTGCTTACAAGAACGCAAATAACAAAGCAAATTACTATTGCAGTCAATTAATAAGGTATGTACAAGGCAGAGCTGCGTCATTCGTCTGCGTAAATTACCACTTCCTTGCCGCGTTCTTAAATTGGCTTGAAGTCTGTACAAGTGCGCCAAACCGTAACGTGGCCTCTACAACAATATTTGTTTCTCTTGCTTTATTTTTTTTTTTTCAATTTAGCCATTTCAGTTAGCAGCAATTAGTTGATGCAATCGCTTATTGCATATTTACATATGTATACTTAAATGTGTTTGGTTGCGTACAGTTGTAAGCAACATTATTGCAAATAAACTATTATTGTCAAGTGTTTCTTTAGAATCACTATAAAAGAACATACTCTTAAAATTATAATTGCGCACCAAAAAATTTTAAGTTAAATATAGTATTTGTGTATCGCTAGAAGTAGAAGAATTCTTAATTAAAATTTGCATTAAAATTTAACATGCACATCGCGTACTTACCTTAATTCATGCTAATTTAAAGCATTGCCTATGGCGCTAAGGTGATTACATATCCCACACAGAGAGCGTAGCACCATGTCTCCCACCTGCTGCTAGCGCGCACCATCACACCACATCCACAATTTGCGCCGATTGCCGACTAATGCACACCGTTCGCAAAGCTTGGCGTGCACTCGTACGTACGTCGATGCTTGTCATCCACATCCTTGAGGTAATAGGTGCCGGGAAATAGCGCACTCACACTACCACTCGGCGTATATGGCGCTGCATGGTTGTTCTTCTCACGCACTGCCATCAGCTGCGAAAACACTTCAGGTGCCACTTTTTCACGTGAATTCAACAATGGCAACACGTAATCCAATTTGGATACGAATTGCTGGAAGACTTTTTCATCTTTTGTCACCAAAATTGAATACATGGAGGCGGCCAAACCGGATCCGTAAGAGAAGACGCCAATACGCTTGCCCACCAGTTGCTCGGGCGCGTTGTTGACCAGCAACGAAACGAGGCCAGAGTACACGGAGGGTGTGTACATATTGCCCACCTGATTGGCGAGCAGCAGTGACTTGCGCGTCTTCGCCTCGAAAACATCGGCGAATTGCGTCATGAAAGCTTTTTCTACATCGCGATCGAAGTAGGTGTTCGCCAGCGTCGATTCGTTGAAGCGCTCCAAACCGGGATATTTGAGCGCACGCTTCTCAGCGCTGCAGAGCAAGAAATCGTTGAAAACAACACGCGCAACTGATTTTTGCACCAGCTTGCAAAAGGGCGTATGAAAGAGTAGCGCATCGAAGTTGTCCAATCCCACTTGCGTCGCACTGGGATACTTCTTGGCGAACTTTTTACAGTACAGCTGATAGCATGTATCCAGCGCAGAGAGATAACACTGTATCGACAATTTACCATCCACTGTGGGGTACTCGGAACTCAAGTCAGGCTTGTAGAAGTCATAGGCGTGCTCCATGTGTGTAGCGCGTAGACCACGCTCGAACACGAGCGGCGCATCGGGGCCCACTAACATGGCAATGGCACCAGCGCCACCAGTAGGACGCGCTGCACCCTGCGCGTACACGGCTATGTCGGCGCACACGGCCAACGCATAACGGCCATCCCAACTGGACGATTCAATCCAGTTGATGGAGTTGAAAAGCGCAGCAGTGCCGCCGTAACAGGCATTCGTTGTATCGATACCTTCGATATCTGTGTTGCCTGAGTCGGCGAAGAGCTGCATCAGCACCGATTTCACTGATTTCGATTTGTCGACGATTGTTTCGGTGCCGACTTCTAGACGTCCAATTTCTTGTGGCTTAATATCATAGCGTTCCAGCAGACGTGTAACAACACTGAGGCACAGTGAATTGACATCTTCGCGATCCGAGCAGAAACCCATTTTGGCTTGACCCAAACCGATGGTATATTTACCAGCTGAAGCGCCATCAAATTGCTCCAGCTCAGTTTGGTCTACGTACTGGGAGGGAAAAAGCACCTCGATGGCGCGTATACCGACATTTTCAGGCCACATTTGTAAAGGGGAGCGTTGTACAAGCTTATCAACCTATATATGGTCGAGCTAGGATACCGCTGACTAGTGATGGTGACTTGATGGCTGTTAATACGCGACGGCGGGGATTTGACTGGAAGAGAAAAGAGAACGTATGTTAAAAGAATTATAGAAGAGGAATGGAGATATAAAAAAGTAAAGTGTCTTAAGTAAATTAAAGCAAAGTAATAAATTAAAGTTAAAAAAAATAAAGTAAAGTAACGTATGTACAGCAAAATAAAGTAAAGCAAAATAATATAAAGTAAGCTAAAATGAAGTAAAAGACAGTAAAGAATAGAAAAGTAAAGTAAAGTGAAATAAAATAAAGAAAAGCAAAGTAAAATAAAGTAAAATAGAGTAAAGTATAGTAAAGTGAAGTAAAGAGGGGAATAACTAAGTTAAATTAAAATACATAAATTAAATAAAAATTTACCATATTGTTCTAAAAAGAAGCAAAATGAAAGAAAAATTTATTTTGCAAAAACAAAATAAAACGTAACTAAAACAAAGCAAAGCATTTAATTAACAAAATAATAATATTATTAAAATGATCCAAACAAAATTATTTAAATAATAAAACGAATGGGTAACTAAAGTGGATAACAGTAAAAATCATAAGGTAGGCAGAAGAAGACGACAACATAAAGTGACAAAAAATAAATACGCCACGTATCATAATTATAAACGCACCACATATTGACAAGTTTTACAAATTTTTATTTTTGTTATTAATTTTATTTATTTTATATAAAAATATAGTTTATTCTTTAACAAATACCGAAGGAATATATCGTCACTACACACGAATAAAGCCGCGCTAATATTTTGACGGCGAAAAAAGGAGTTGAAAAAAAAATTTTCCGAAAAGGATGCTTATAAAAAACTTTGGCAAAGTATGTTAAAAGTCTTTGACGCTGAAATTTTTTTATGCGTCTTTTTTTCGCCGTCAACTTTTGAGCTCGCGCCTTTATTCGTGTCTAGTGACGACATGTTTCAAACTTTGCGTAATATTTAAAAAAAAGTTCAACAAACTTTTGTAAAAATACAAGCTGTTTAATTAGACTTCTTAGAAAGATTTTGAGAATGCAGTTTGTAGCCCATTAATTTTAGTATAATAAAGTGCAAGTTTGGAGTAGCTAGGACTTACCGTTGATTTTTGGGATTTTTTTTTTTTTTTGTTGAAGGTGTTGGTCATTTTCCCCATATAAAAAAATCATCGAACACATACAAACTTGCACTTTATTGCACTAAAATTGAATGCGCTACAAAACTGTATACTCAAGACTACTGCATTGTCGTTGTAAAACTCATAGAGCTCATCGTTCCATGTTGTTGTTGTAGCAGCATACAAGCTCCACAAAGAGTTTTTGGGGAGTGTTGCTGGAGTGACAGTCCTTGGCCAAATATAAATCTGGGTCGTTCCGGTTACGTAGACCCGACTGTCGTGGGAACTCATCGTTCCATCATCTGTGCTACTTGCCGTAAAGGCCCATAAGTTAGGAAGAGTGATTCTGCGTTGAAGTTCCATGCTGACATTATTATCGGTGTTAAAACTGGTAACCAAGTAAACGAAATTCGAAACGAACGACTTTCTCGAAATTATAACTGTCAACGGAGACGTGGGTGTCAAGGCGCGAATGTGCTGATTGTTTGTTTGATGACAGCAGTACTTCGTCTTGTCCTCGTTTACCACCAGACCCATTCGCTTTGCTTCCTTATCCAACTTGGAAAAAGCAGAATAGACTTCGCGGTTATTGCTACCGATGATGTCGATGTCATCGGCACAAGCCAGCAATTGCACGCTCTCTCAGTAAATTGTTCCTGAGCGGTTCAGTTCTGCAGATCTTATTATCTTCTCCAACATCAGACTAAATAAGTCACATTAAAGACAGTCACCCTGTCTGAAACCCCGTTTGGTGGCGAACGGCTCGGAGAGGTCTTTCCCAATTCTGACGGAACTGGTGGTATTGCTCAACGTCATTTTATACAGCCGTATGAGTTCTGAGGGGATGCCAAATTCAGACATATCGGCGTATGTGCAAGTCCTTTTAGTGCTGTCAAAAGCGGCTTTAAAGTCGACAAATAGGTGGTGAGTGTCGATCCTTCTCTCGCGGATTGGGCAGAGCACACTTAAATTCCAGTCGTCGGGCATGCGTTCATCTGACCATATTCTGCATAGGATGCATGCACCTCATCAGCTCCTCGCCGCCGTACTTGAATAGCTCAGCTGGCAGGCTGTCAGCTCCAGCAGCTTTGTTGTTTTTCAGCTGCGTTATTGCTATTCGTCGAACATCGACTGGGGGCTCGGGTTCTTCTTTTCCAAAACTTTCCGTGCTGCTACCATTCAGTAGGGTGGACAAGTGTTCCCTCCATAATTGAAGTACGTCCTTAACTAGGTCACCATTGTTGTTCTTACAGGAGTACGCCCTGGTCTTAAAACAGTCCGTATGTCCCTAACTCTCTGTTAAAATTTTCGGGCATTATTCCTGTCGACCTCCCCTATAGCGGTCCCACGAGGCGCGCGTTGCGCTCGATCGCAGCGTGGCCCTGTAGGCGGCATATTTTTTCCCTGCAGCTTCCTGACACTCCTCATCGCACCAGTTGTTCTTTCGGGCTCGCTGAAATCCGACTACTTCTTCGGCGGCGGTACTTAAAGAGAGGGAAATGTGGTTCCACTGCTCGCATATGTCGGTTTGTTGAACAGTATTCTCTGAGACCGGGTGGGAGAGTCGAGTAGCGAATGCGTTGGCTGTCTGTTGTGATTGCAGCTTTTCGACGTTAAGCTTCCCTTGCATATTTGGGCGCACACTTTTTGCTGCACAGAGGCGGGTGTGTATCTTGGCTGCAACAAGATCGTGGTCCGAGTCGATGTTTGGGCCTCGGAGTGTTTGGTTTCTCGTTTTTCGATCCGGAGACAGCTACGTAGCTTGATGAATCTTTTTATGCTTGAACCTAGTACTGCATACTGCCATGTTTCGGGCGCCTGCGAAGTCGATCAGCCTCAGTCCGTTGTCGGACGTTTCATCATGGAGGCTGAATTTTCCGACGGTGGTTCCAAAGATCCCTTCCTTGCCCACCCTGGTATTGAAGTCGCCAAGCACGATTTTGATATCGTGACGGGGGCAGCGCTCATAGGGGCGCTCCAAGCACTCATAGAAGAGATCTTTGGAGACCTCATCCTTCTCTTCCGTCGGGCATAGGCTCAGATTAAAATAACGCAAATAATGAAATTTTCACTTGCATAAAAAAATATTTAAGTTTCGTGTTATTATTTACGCATATTTTTAGCTTATAGGTTACTTAGATGCGTTTTTAATAACTTTAACATCAAATTGAAACCACAAACAATAAATCGTTTTTATGGCTTACAAAGAGCCCACATACACACATACGTACATGTTTCTTTAAATGTACCAACAACTTACTTTCAAATACTTGACACACGCACAACTTTCACCTGTTTGCACGACGAATTCTTTAACAATTTAACACACAATCTATATTACTGTCTGTCTGCCAGCGTTGAATATGTACCTAAATGTACATAAATTTGTTGTTGTTTTACAAACCACCTTAAAATCAAAGAAAAACCAGACGGAGTAAAGCGTAGTGAACGACTAAAAAACCAAAGACCGAATGAAGCAAAACAACTTGAACTCACAAAAGTCAAATGCGTAATGCGCGCAAGAAGAGACCCGAAAAATTGAACAGCCATCAACTACCGCCAATCGCCGATCAAACAAGACCAACAAAGTCTGTCAATGGAGCGCGGCTACTAGCGGTATGTCTACAAAGAGGCAATAGCCACGAGAAGAGGTTAATTGAAATGAGCTGATGCGTGAATGAATTTATTTACATATGTATGTATGTCGGCCGCTGTGGTGTAGTGGTTAGCAGTGCGCGCTACCATTCCGCAGGCCTGGGTTCGAACCCAGTTTCCGAGCAAGATCAAAAAATAAAACATAACATTTTTTTTTTTTATAAAAGCGATCGCCCCACGGCAGGCAATGGCAAACCTCCGAGTATATTATGCCATGAAAAACAGTTTCTCATAAAAATACAATCGCCATGCGGAGTTGGCCAAATACTAACATATTGTATCTTGTGCCAATCTATTATTATTATTATTATTTTGTATGTTGAAATGAAGAGAAGGCAATGAAAACTACGAGAATCAAAAGTTTAAAAGTTATTCACTAAAAAATTTATGCACAACAGCCCAATACAATTTAGTGACATATCGATAAATCTGTATGAATTAGTTTCGCTAACTTGAAGGCAAAATGGCTTTACAATTACAAATCAAATGAAATATTTATAAATATAGGTAAAAAATCATGCAAGAATACAGGTTATTCTTTTATTAGGTTTCACAATTTTTCTTTTTCAATGTGACATTGTAGTACATTTCTTATGAGAGCACTGTAAAAAAAAAAACTTCAACTAAAAGACGGCACGGGTTATCGTTAGCCTACGGCCATAAAACTTCATATTATATACTATTTAGGCTAAAAAGCACAAATATAGAGAGTATGCAAATCAAAATTTGCAAACAAGTTTTTTTTCCCTATATTCTTGGGGCAGTCTAATGTACACACATATACCGTCAACTGAAATGCAAAAAGACGTAACAACATCGTAAATGAAATGGAAAAAGTCGTGCCGCATTCTTAAATTTTTTTTANTAAAAAACCAAAGACCGAATGAAGCAAAACAACTTGAACTCACAAAAGTCAAATGCGTAATGCGCGCAAGAAGAGACCCGAAAAATTGAACAGCCATCAACTACCGCCAACCGCCAACCGCCGATCAAACAAGACCAACAAAGTCTGTCAATGGAGCGCGGCTACTAGCGGTATGTCTACAAAGAGGCAATAGCCACGAGAAGAGGTTAATTGAAATGAGCTGATGCGTGAATGAATTTATTTACATATGTATGTATGTCGGCCGCTGTGGTGTAGTGGTTAGCAGTGCGCGCTACCATTCCGCAGGCCTGGGTTCGAACCCAGTTTCCGAGCAAGATCAAAAAATAAAACATAACATTTTTTTTTTTATAAAAGCGATCGCCCCACGGCAGGCAATGGCAAACCTCCGAGTATATTATGCCATGAAACTTCATATTATATACTATTTAGGCTAAAAAGCACAAATATAGAGAGTATGCAAATCAAAATTTGCAAACAAGTTTTTTTTCCCTATATTCTTGGGGCAGTCTAATGTACACACATATACCGTCAACTGAAATGCAAAAAGACGTAACAACATCGTAAATGAAATGGAAAAAGTCGTGCCGCATTCTTAAATTTTTTTTACTTCATAAAATGATGTTGGGAGTTGTAATTCGATGAAATCCATCATATAAATCAGAAAGTGAATTTTGAATTTTTTATTAGTTATGACTTTTTGCATTCCAACGATGAAGTTTGTTACGTCTTTTTGCATTTCAGGTGACGATATGTATTTACAATAGCGTATCAAAATTGTGCTTCAGCGCTAATTGGGTCCTGGCCAAGTGCTCAAGCGGCGCTTCTATCAGCCAATAAACCAGCCAGAACGAGAGAAATGAATAAGTAAAGAATTTAACTTAATACCATGTTCTGACCGACATCGAAAACATGTTTTCGTTGCTAAAACTGGTTTTCGACTTAAAACTTGTGTTTTCGTCCATGTAAAATCTGTCAAACGAAAACCAGTTTTCGCTGAAAACTACTTGAAAACTCACGTTCCACTCATTCCAATCGGTGTCTTCACTAGTTTTTTTTCGATTATTTATCGAAGTGGATTANTAGTTTTTTTTCGATTATTTATCGAAGTGGAAGTCATATTTTATCATCTTTAATACGCCATTTCGGATTTATTGTTAATTGGCTGGCAAAAGTAAAATAAGAATGAAAGTAAGATGTTGCTAATGAAAAGAAAATGAGGGAAAAGCATTTTTGGTTTTGTTTTTGTGTAGCAAATCTGTAATCAGAGGATGTAAAAAATGTCAACGAAAACACTAACAGCCGGTGTGAACAGCCTTCAGCCCACAATCCCAAAACACGTTTTCAAAGTGTTTTCGTTGTCGGTCAGAACATGGTATAAGGCTCCTTATATATGTAAATTTTCACCTTTTCTACCATTTTTGTGGATATTGAAACACTAACATAAAATAGTGATAATTATTTTTTGAGAAACAATCCTCACAGCCAATCCAACCGGTTCTCTAAGTGAGCGGACGGGAACTAAACAATTTCCGCTCTCCTCTACTAGATGCAGTTGGCAACTTCAACCTCACCTCAGTTGTTGTAGTGAAGATACGATACCATTTCTGGAATTTGTTTTTTTCTTAGATTGACTAGCATTATGGAGATTACAATCCTAATTAAATATTAGTCCG